AAAAACTCAAGAAAAATATTTTTATCACAGATAACACTATCATTATCATCTCAACCAACACTCTGCCTTCCGGAAAATATGTGGTTTCATCCTCACATATCCTTTCCATTTCAGAACTTAGATTCACCTCACAGCCTCCTGGATGCACCACTGTTCTCTCACATGTCCCAGCCACTCCTTGTGGAGGTTGGATTATAAATCTTACTGCAGAGCTCTCACAGTGCCTCAGTGAGAAAACTGACCTATATTAAGGAAAGTATTTCTTTGTTTATCTCTCAATTTTTAGTTTTCAAAATCAGGCACAATATCCAATTTGTCTTTGTATCTGTAGAATGTGAATAAAGTTCTGACCACAGTCTCATTCTCTACATGTTTTGTGGAACTTGGGAGTAGAGACTTGCCTAAACCAGGGAAGAAGATCCACTCAGGCAGTACCTGTTCATGGGACAGCCATACAGTAGTTATATCAGTGACATCTTTAGTCAGGTTTATTGCCAGACCAAATGATCATAGAGAACAAATGTTGCTCAGTAGGTTCTAAAGTCAAATGGTTTTGATTTACATCTATGATCTGACATTTATCAAATGCAGAATTTGAAGTTATTTAACACATCTGAGCCACAGTAACCAGATCTTTAAAATGTGGATAATTATATTACTTCCTAAAGATGTAATTTGTACAAACGTACCAAACATGAAGACAGGCTGCAACAGGAATGAAATTTTAGCTATTATTGTCAATATTATATAGTTCCTCATATATTATATCAAAGAATTAATACATTTTCTGCCTCTGTCTCAGCCTAAAAGCATAAAGAGAAATGAATATCAAAATAGTTTGCCCTTATCAACATATATTTATGAGACACATGAAATTAAACTGACTTAATCTTCCAAGACTACACAGCTCATACATTATAAAAACTCATGCCAGAAAAAACTAATGCCAGTCATCACGTTGCAGTTACTAATTATGAATAAACCCTTAAATTCTAAATTTAACTCCACTATAAGCACATGGAATGAAAATTGTAAATGATATTTTGAGTAAAGTCTGAAAAAATCTTTTTTGTGGTTTTAATTACATGAGTGACAAATATTTCCACACTGAAGGTGGTTCATCATGACTATAAACTTTTATGCTTTCCTCAAGCATGAAAGGATATTTCTGTAGAGTTATGGCAATCAACTGTAAATTTTATGGCACAGAATTTGGCAATAATCAACTTTTAGGTTATCTCTCAATGTGATGCAGCTATTTGCTTTAAATAAGAGTATATAAGCTACAGTATGAATCTTCTAACCTGATAACATTAATACAGACAAATATTCTCATGGAATTATCATCTTAACATCATAGATCAAGAGTACAGAAAAAACAGTAGATTCATAGCTACTTAGAGAATAAGCTTTATAAGTGATGGAAAAAAAACTGAAATATTTAGGTCCATTGAATACATGATCACCTTTAAAAATTCAGAGGAGCGCAAGTATGTGACGTCATCCTATGGAAATTTTGATTTGTAAAATAGAAATGTCATAGTAAAATTCAGAAAAGGTTAATCTGTTTCCAAAGTATTGCTAAAGGAAAGTGACAAAATTTTTTCATTCCAGCAGTCAGCAAATTAAGATTTGGTCCTGCCATATGCAGGACCAGGGTTCCCAGCATCACTGAAAAATACTCATCGCACTACCAGGCATTGGCTCTTATGGATCATGTGCTGCCATTAATACAGACCTCAAAGGTCTTCCGGATCTTTCACGTACTTATCAATGAGCGATTCCTATTTCCTGAGCATCTATTTAGGAGAGCTACAGAATACATTCAGATAATATTTCAAAGGTCAAATATTACATTGGTACATACTAAAATTAAAATAATATATGAAAGAACTAGATGAAAAAATAAAATATAAATAATAAACTCATCTTCTTGTTATTATTGTGAAATTCAAGCTTTGCTTTAATTCTATTTTTAAAAATTGTGTCTGCTAAATAATCTTGTAAAACTGGCCAAGTAACATGTTGGAATCATCTGTATACTAGGAGGTTAGAGCTACATTTTTTTTTCACTATTTCTTAGGGAACTACTGTCCTACAAGCATGAAGGATTTAGATGAAAGATGAAAGGAGATGCTCTAGGTTTATTCAACTTTCAGGATATCAGAGGACCCCTGGATCCTGACCTGAAATGGGCAAATCTTCCTTAGAGGAGAAGAGTGATCTCCTTTCTCCAGAACATTAATCCAGGAAAGTGCTGATTTCAAAAGCACTCACTTATGTTCTTAGTTCATGTGGAGCATCAGAAAGATGACAAAAAATATTACAACCATTCAGCCACCTCCCAATTTCATGGATCACACACTATATGAGCAAAACATACCCAAATATCTTTGTCCCGTTTGTCTGCAGATGTTGTGCAGAGGAGTGTACAGCAGCTTCTATACTAATATTTTATTAGAAAATGTATTCTGGATAATGTGAACACAAGGAAATGCTACCAAGAATGGTCAGTTATCGAAACTCTGCCCAGCCATGCCTCATCCAGCTCACAACTTCCAGGCTCCACATAGCTTAGGGAAATAGGGAATGGGAGAGCAGGTTTATTCATACACAGGCTATGCGTCAGTCACATGTATATCAAATTCTTCATCACTGCCAGGGAAATTTTCTCCCACGACATCTGTAAACAGGTTATTTATGTCATTTGCACTTTCTCTTACATTTTCATTGACCCTGATCAATTTTATAGTATTCTTATTTGCATCATCTAATAGCTACTGGATTGATTTATCATGGTTCTTTGATATTTTTAAGTAATCTTTCTTTTCATGATTGATAACCACAATCCTGTCTTCTTTATCTGATATTCTGTCCTCAGACTGGCTCATTGTGCTGTGGATACTTCCAGTGGAATTTTTGATCTCCTGGGTATCTGAATCTATTTCATGGATCTCATTTATTTCCTTCTTTGGGAATTCATGGTTTCCTTCTTTTCCTAAGCTCCTCTATTCTTTTGTCTGCATCTGCTCTAGAGTCACTAAGCATATCTTTCCCTAGAGTCACCATCTCTGTAGTTATCTGATAAATTATTTCTGATTTGATTTTTTAGAGCTTTGTTCATTTGCTTTGTATTACCACTTTAGAGTCCAAGTGGGTGGCTTTTGGATTGTTCCACCTCACTGTCCTCTAGGTTTGCCTTTGTTGAGCAGGATGTCTGGCAATGCATCCTGTTTGAGTGTCTTCTCATTTTCTTTTCTTTTTTGTTGGTTTAATTACTGGGTTGATGCTGGTAAATAGCCTATGTGTAGCTTTATTGCTAGTATTAATTCCTTTAGAAAATAATTACTTCTCTGAGGTGTCTCTGAGGTGTCTTCCAGGTGTAGCTGGCTTTTGGATTTTGTGTCTTTCGAGAATCTGTCTCTTGAATTTTTGGGGATGAGAAGTTGCTTCCTACTTGCCCCAGCCCCTTGTTCATTGACACTGACCTGTAGTATTTCTTATGACCCTTATGCAATTTTAGTTTTGTACACCAGGAAAAACACCTGGTTAGAACAATTATGTCACCTTGGGTTACATGGTACAATCAGCAATAACAATAGCTTCAAACACAGCCTAAAAAAGGACAACCAAAGGTAACTATTAATTTGTCAACTTTAACATTATGAATTAGATTTTTTGTTATATAACAAAATCTAAAACAAACCAGAAAAAGAAGCCCTCTATAGGCAATTTTACCCTCAGGGGGAAAATTTAGAAGGGGTTTGCAGTGAGGCATTGTGGCACACCTCTGTAATCCCAGCTCTCAGGAGGCTGAGGCAGGAGGATCATTGTGAGTTTAAGACTAGCCTGGGCTACAAAGTGAGCTCAAGGCCAGCCTGAACTTCATAGTAAGACCCTGTCTGAAAAAGACAAAAAAAGAATGGGTTTGGGATGAAAATAGATAAATAGAAAAAAAGAAGAGGTTAGAAGCAAGGCTAGAAAACAAATAAGGATCATGCCAACTTTGGGAAACTGGTGCAAAAGACAGAGGAAAAGAGAGGAGGAAAAAATAAAAACAATAACAGAAAAGAACAATAACAAAACAAATAGAAGCCATATTCAGACTCAAATAAAGACCAAGAACAAACAATAAAGGAAAACCCAAAACAAACAAGAGAAAGAAAATAATGAAAAAAGAAAAAAGAAAAAGAAAAAAGAAAAAGAAAAGATGCACTTCAAGGTGTGTCTCTGCTGACATTGGTAGACAATATGGGCAGAAAAAGTTCAGATCTGCATCAACCAATACCAGAAAGCCAGTAGCAGCTTCACAGTAGGGTAGTAATTAATACCACCAATACTGCACCCCTATTTCCAATGAAGTTCAGTCTGTCCTCTGGCTGTGAGGTTGAAACCAGACCCACACAGACTGCAGCACTCCCTGGGCCCCCACACATCAACTTAGAAGAATATCCTTGAGACCTAAGTCTAAGCAAAATCACTTAATCAAGATAAAGTACGCAGTTAGTCAGAAATTAAGAGTTACCACAATTCATCATTTTCTACATTGTGTTTGATGCTATTGTACTACTTTAGCCAAAGTGACATAATTGTTCAAATAAGTGGTTCTTCCTGATATACCAAGACTGAGATCGCCTAAAGATCAGAAACAATAGCATAGGCTGGTGCCAAAGGATCAGAGACTGGGCCGAGAAAGCAGCAACTTCTCATCCTCAGTAAAATGAAGCAGTAGTATCTTGCAACAAAATCAAAACAAAAATGCTAGCTACACCTGGAAAACACCTCTGAGAAGTAGTCGCATCCTATGGGATCTAAATACTAGTAATAAAACTGCTCAGAACAAGTAATTTACATTTACAATCATCTACCCACGAATTAAACTAAAAATCAAAAAGCAAGAAAGAGCAGAAGAGTGAATGAAAGAAAGAAAGAAAGAAAGAAAGAAAGAAAGAAAGAAAGAAAGAAAGAAAGTTATCCATCTCTAAATATCTGAACATTTACTATCTTTTCCACCTAGATATTAAGCATCTCATCATTCGTCTCTCATTACTCATTAGGACAAAAGGACAGATTGCGGCATAACCATTGTCCACAATCATGTGGACACAAAGATGAATGGGATCATTCTTCCACAATATCCCAGAGACTGAGAAAATCACACAGTCCAAAAAGTACATAAATGTAAAGAAACCCATGAGTACCAGAATGGTCCGGGTGGCCCTATCCTCTGGGGATGATTTTGGAGAAAGATTGGTGCTGTGAAGATGCTGGAGCAGCCTCTTATACCTGGACAAGAGACTCACCATGTATCCACTTGAGAGAGCCATCAGCCCTATAAAGGAGACATCCTGAACGTTCGCTAATGAGAAAAACATGTACCTGAACAAGTAACTGATAGGCCACTGAGAGCAGGATTCAGTGACAAACATGAGACTGTGTGAGGTCACATTTGGGGTGGCCCCAATGGAGACTAAGAAACGAGTATTCAGGAGCATATTGAAGACCCATAAAAAGCCAAGGCAACATGGGTAATAGTGTGTGGATTTATGCTTAAATATTGCCAGACAAGAGTTTCTAGGGCTGAGCATGATGGCCTGGAGAACACTCAGCAGGCAAGTAGTACAGAGAGAGAGGGCCCTCATCAATCTGTTTACATAGAAAACTAATTTACACATGAGGTCACTCCACCAGTCCTCAAACCCAAAAGTGTCTGGAGCTATGAAGCCCATGGTTCCCAGCATCACCAGGTGGATCAGGGCCAACTGACTGATGGTCAGGTCCAGGGGCTTGGGCCTGTGCTTGAGGAGAAATGTGAGAATGTGGAACAGAAGCAGGACAGTGTTGGCTACGATGCCAATGGAGACTTCAGAGAAAACAATGTTTCTTACGCCAGTATAACTGGAAAATTTTCTCTTTTTAATCATCTTCATGGTGTTAAACAATAAGTGTCTGCAGAGAAAAGCAAAAAAGATTATTTAGCACAAATATCACCATCATCATCATCTGAGCCGATACAATGGCTTCGTCAGAACATGGGGATTTCTCCCCATGCGTGCTTTCCACTTCAGAACTTAGATTTACCTCAAAACCTGCTGGATGCATGACTGGTTTCTCACGTTTCCCAGCCATTCCTCATGGAGGCTGCGTTATGTATCTCACTGCAGGGCTACAACAGCACCATTGTGAGAAAACTGTCCCAGATTATGAGGGGTATTTCCTTGTTTTTCTTTCAATTTTTAGTTTTCAACATCAGGTACAATGTCTTATTTCCTTTTGTAGCTGTAGGATGTGGAGAAAGTTCTGGCTATATAGATTCTACACTTTTGTGGAAGGTGAGAATGGAGTTGCCTACATTTGGAAGATCAGCTCCATCAGTAATTATTCATGGGATAGCCATACAGTTACAATATGTCAGTGACATCGTGAGTCTTGCTTATTGTAAGACAAAATATTCATAGAGAAAAATGTTTCTCAGTATGTTCTCAAGTCGAATAGTCTGGAATTATATCTATAATCTGACATTTATCAAGTAGCAGGACTTGAAAAGTCAACAAGCATATCTAGGCCACAGTCATATGACTGGCAAAATGGGGACAATTATATTCCTTATTTTCTAAAGAAATATTATGTACAAAACTACCAATGAAGAGAGTCTGATATAGGAATGAAATGTCAATTATTATCATAATTATTATATAGTTCCTCATACATATAACTGGAAAGAACTTTTCCAGTTTGCAATATATTCTGCTTTTGTCCAAGCGTAAAAGAACAAATAGAATATCAAGGTAGTATAACCTAACAATACCTATTTATGAGATACAAGAAATTAAAATGATTTAACCTGCAAAACTACAAAGCTCATATATTTGAAAAATTCCTGCCACATAAACCTAAAATCAGTTGTCACGTTACAGTTATTAATTTTGATTAGGTTCATGAATTCCAAATTTCTTTTAGCTCTATTATAAGTTCATGGAATGAGAATTCAAATGTATCTGTATTTTAAGCAAATTCTGAAAATTTTGTATTGTTTTAATTTCATGGGTGACAAATATTTCCACCCTGAATATGGTTCATCATAAACTCCAAACTTTACAACTTCCTTAAGCAAGAACGGATATTTCTGTAGAGTTATAGGGATCAAGTATAAATTTTATAGTACAAAATTGGGTGATAATCAACTTCTAGGTTACCTCCCAATATGATGGAGCTCTTCACTGTAAAACAGCCTAAATAGGTCACAACATGAAACTCCTAACATGATAACTTTAGTACAGATAAATATTTTCAGAAAAGTATCATTTTAACATCAGGTTAAGTGTACAGACAAAGAGAGTACAATCATAGGTACTTACAGTATATGCTTTATAAGTGATGGAGAAAAACCTGAAATATTTAGGCATATTGAATATATGGTCACGTTTAAAAATTCACAGAAAAGAAAGCATGTGGTATAAATCCTATGGAAATTTTGATTTGTAAACTAGAAATGTCATAGTAAAATTTAGAAAAGGTTAATCTGTCTCCAAAGTATTACAAAAGGAAAGAAACACAATTTTCTCCACTCCAGCAGTCAGCAAATTGAGGTATCATCATATCATATGCTTAGGGGAAACATTGAAAAATTTTCACCTACCTACCAGGTATCTCTGAATATTGTGGATCACAGGCTGCCATTAAATGCAGTCCTCAATGTTCTTCTTGATCTTTCATGTACATTAAATGAGAGACTCCTATTTCTGTACATCTATATCCTGTAAGTTACAAAATATACCCAGACAATATTTTAAAGGACTAACATTAAACTAGTACATACCAAACTCAAAGTAATATATTAAAAGAATTTCATGAAAACATAAAATATAAATCATAAACTGATCTTCTCTTGTTATTGTTGTGAAATTCAGACTTTGCTTTAGTTTTGTTTTTAAAATTTGAATCGGTAAATAATTTGTAAAACTGAGTAAGTAGCACTTTTTAGTCATCCATAAACAGAGGAGATAGAACCACATATTTTCACCATTCCTTAGAGAACTAGTCTTATAAGCATGAAGGATTGAGATGAGAATTGTATGGAGATGCTCTAGCATTCAGGATGTCAGGAGACCCCTGAGTCCTTACCTGAAATGGGCAAATATTATTTAGAGCAGAAGAGTGATCTCCTTCCTGCAGAGTATTAATTCAGGAAAGTGCTACATTTATGAGCACCCACTTCTGTTCTTAGTTCCTGTGATGAATCAGAAATATTACAGGAAATGAAATCAATCATCTCCAAATGTGTAGATCATGCACAACTGTATTAGTGAAACACACACCAAATATCTTTGTCCTGAATTTGTCTGTAGATGTCATTCAGAAAGGTGTATAGCAAGTTCTATACTAATACTTTATTAGAAAATATATTCTGGAGAATATGAACACAAGGAAACAGGTTACCAAGAATGGTCTAGTATCCAATCCCCACCCAGCCATGTCTCATCCCCGCTTACAACTCTCAGGTTCATCACAGTTTAGGGAAACAGGGAACAGGACATCAGGATAATCTAAAAGACAATCCCCAAATACAGCTCTGAAGAGTGACAATGCTCAGACAGGACATGCCTCCCCCAAAATATTAAACACAAAAGTCTAACTTTTCAGATAAGTCACAGGGAAAGTAACCTGGAAGAAAGTTCTAAAACAGATCACATTCTGAAGGCCAACTTCAGAAACAGAAAAGAAAGGCCAAGGGGGCACCTCATGGAAAGCAAGACAGAAATGTAGTGAAAAAGTCAAAGAGAAACCTCTGTGTTTTCTTTGATCAGTCACCATTAGGAGCTCTCACAACTCCGTAAAGGCTGAAATATTCCCTGAGAAATGCAGCACAGCTCAGGACCTAGTTAATGCTCTGATCAGGGAAGAATTCACATAAGATATTCTGTTCACTGGCAATTACTGAGGCCAGGGATAGTCCTGTGACACATGGTGCCCTCAGATATTTAAGAAACTACTGAGCAATGCTGAGGTCAATTCACCCATGCCAGTTGTCAGGAAAGATTTGGAGTACAGTAGGAGGCCGAGGGGTCTTGCTTCATAGCAACCAAATTTCAGCACTTATGCCCTTGACTAGGACAGACTACAGGGTGAAAAAATGGGGTGTGTACTCATTTTTTCATAGGAAACATGAACATTATCTACCCTGCAGAATAAGATAGTGTATAACAATATGCTTTATGTCCAGAGCAGTTATATCTCAGATATATGAAACGGCTTATGTAGGCTGTCATTCCCGTAATTTACCAAACAAGTTTACTATGATGGACATCAATATTGTCTTTATCTATACTTAAAAGGGGACCTATGAGGTGAGACTGACCATGAATACAGGAGAGGGTAAGTTTCATTGAGATATTGGTCTGCATGCTATAATTCTGGGCAGAATTCTACCTGGAAATCTGCAAAGAGAAACAGCAAGAACCAGCAGACCAACAGGCAAGGCAAAATCCTCACCAGCCACAAAGGTGGTCAATCCTAGATGCAGAGCCTTTGTGAAATGCACAGATGGTGGAGAAGAAAAAAGAAAATCTGAGTACATAGATGGCAGCTGTGTACTTTTCAAACATGCAGTAAAGAGCATCTAGTATGTCGATTTAAAACACACTAATGTAGAGCTCTGTGTGCTCATTTATCCAGAGTATTGACAGCATGCAAATGCTTACATCCATTTTCAGAAAAATCAAGAGAAAGTAATTACTATTCCAAAGAAACAAAAGAAACCCAGATGCACTTTGTCACAAAAATTAAGATGTCATCCCTCACAAAAATGAATAGCCCTGTGTAAGAATCTCCAATCAACCCAATAGTGCAAGAAAATCTTGTGTTCCTGCAAAATAGCTTTGAGTTTTATTTGTTTTTATATTTTTCAATTGTAGATATACCCAGAGAATGATGATAGTTCAAATTTATCTGTTGATAAAAGTAATGAAACAACCAGTTTCCCATATTGGAAGTGGTTCTGGCATATCAACTAAGAACAAAAGCAGAAGAAACATTTTTGCAGTGAGGAAAAATAGAGAAAATAGTAAGAATCATAGTTTTTCTTCTCAAAACAGGCTGGAGGGTTATATTCTAAGACCTCTACTAGAAACACAGAACAAACTCCATCATCATAACCTTGTTTTACTTTTCAACATATTGCTGGCTAACACCATTGATGTGCAATTTGTGAAATCAACACTGGCTCAGCATGCTCTTCATGAAAAAATGCTCACACATTTCTTGTAGGAATGAAGTTAAAGATCTCTTTAAAATCTGATGCTTTAAACAAAGCACTTCATTAAATAATAAATAGTTTATATTAAACTTAAATATCTAAAACTACAAAGGTCACTTATTAAAAATCTGTTAAATCATTTATATAGAAAGAAAGTAAGTTTACTTACTGAAAACTCATAGTCAACTTTTATCTATTTTTGAGGGGTTGTAAATACAAACATAAAAGCATCAGACTAAAATGACAGATGTTCCTTCCTTGCAAGCAAATTAAAATCATTTAACCCAGAGGAATTCACACATTTCATACTAAACTAATTTAGTATGTCTTATAAAAAGTAATACTAATTTTATGAGGCAATGAAATAAAAACTAGAGCCAACAAAAATCTCAGTCTACAAAATCTGACCACAAAGCCAACTTGTCTCTTCCTTAGCCTGCCTAGGACCCTGCATTCACAGGTACTGCATCTGTGGGCAAAAAGGCACTTACCCAAGGTCATATGTGGGGATCTGAGGCTCCTCACAAAACTTTGCCCTGCTTTATGAAAAGAAAGTAGCTATGGCAGCAATGTGCAGAAGTGTCATTTTAGCATCTATACAAAGGTGACAATATTCCACTGGGGAGCACAGAGCTACAGTCTCCTGTGGAACATTTAACCTGTCTCTAGATTTTT